ATTTCAGGCTTCTTGCCAAGGAAATGCAGATTATTGAGAAAAGCTTAGATCTTCCATGGAAAATAAAACGTGAATGCTTTTGTGACAGAATGGTTTCCAAACTGTTGTGCGTACGCACGCGCGCACTCTCTCTCTCTCTCTCTCTCTCTCCCTCTCCCATTTCTCCAGCACTTTTTGCACCACCAGTTTTTTTAAATGCTCTGGAAGATTGGCACTTTAAATCAACCCCACTGCAGGATAGGGTCTTTGTTTGCATTACTGGGTCTTCCTTTGGAAACAAATGAAGAGAAGGCAATCGAACACATTCAAACTAACAGCCTTGCAATTGGGTTGGGTATCACTAGCTCTTGTTAATAAAACTGTTACTTACAAAACAGTGTGCTGTTTTCTAAAATATTGACTTGAGATAGATTGAGAAGGGTCTCTATGGAGTTGATTCGTCTTTTGATTGAAAGAACATACCCAAAGTCTGTTACTCTGCACCATTGCAGCTGGGGAGCTAAGATTCTTCATACTTACTGCGATGACATTACAATACCCCTGCTTGTACTGTGTAATATATGGGACTAGGACAATTATAATAATTTAAGGGAAAGTTTCAAGCAAAATAGAATATATATATATATACACACACACACACACTTTTCTAAGGCCATTGCTATATCCATTTTCCATCTTGAAGACTTGTGGGCCATTTAACTTCCCTATTGATAGTGAAATTACAATTATTTAATTAAAGGGCACTGTATAAGAGGATCCAGTGATTTTGGTCTCAGCCCCAAACAGCTTATGATGTAATATTCAGACTGGAACAGGCTGAAAAAACTAAGTATATTTCATAACATTGTTTAAAAGCAATGAAAAAATTTCATTTTGTTTGAAATTTTCCATGACCATTGATTTTATTTATTTATACATACAACATTTTTATTTAGGTTTGGTGGGGGGGAAATAACTCTCACTTTTTACACAGACATTCGAAAAAGGAAAAAAAAGGATAGGGGATTTAAAAAGTGATAGTGTTTTATTCCCCCACTGAAAAAAATTCAATATATTTCACTGAAAATGAAAAATTACAACCAATAGGGAAAAGTTCCATACAGTTTTCACTTTTAATTGAAAAGAAGATTTAGACAGAAAATTTTCAACCAACTCTAACCCAGACGATTTTTTTACAAAGTACAAATTAGATTGTGAAGAATGGTCTGGATTCCTTGCCAAACAGTCAAGGTGCCATTGTTGGTGCAGAGATAAGCACGGAAGATTTGCAAAAGAACTAGCTTTGAAGAAGGCTTTTGAAAGAGGGAGTGTGAGGCTATTTCAAGAGTATAGGTTGGTGTAAAAGGAGGTTTAAATGGGAAAGTGGAAAAACAGAAAAGAGAGCAGGTTTCAGAGTAGCAGCCGTGTTAGTCTGTATCCGCAAAAAGAAAAGGAGGACTTGTGGCACCTTAGAGACTAACCAATTTATTTAAGCTTAAGCTTTCTTGAGCTACAGCTCACTTCATCGGATGCAGTTAGAGGACAGGTGAGGAATGTAAAAAGGAGAGAAGATGTAGCAAAAGTGAAGATGGAGTTGTAAGAGAGACAGCAGTTAGAGAGCCTTGGAAGTTTTGAACCTTATGTGGAGGCAAGAAGAAGTCAGTGAATGACAATATGACATGGTCTGACTGGCGGAAGAAGTGTGTCTTATGTATGGAAAAACGAAAAATTGCTAAATGGGAATAGATCAGGTGAACTTTATTAATTAAATTACATTTTTTGAATAATAAAATGTATAAAACTCTAAATACTAAACAATGACATATATTATCCGAGTGTGTGGACACACCCATGTACATATTTAATCACTTTATTTTTATTCAACCAGAATAAAACAAGGCAGTGGAAAACATGCAACTCTAAAGTGAGTTGTGATCTGAACCTATTTGCTGGAAGTGTTTATATAAATAACAATATATTTAAAGCAACTTTTCACCAAGAAATCTGGAGGTTGAGGAGGAGTGCACTGTCTCTCTCTCTCTCTCTCTCTCAGTCATTTCAGGTAGATACAATCAAATTATTCATAGTTAGAGGCCTTAGTCAGGGGCCTGCAGGTGCAGTGGCATATTTGCACAGGAGCATAAGAATTACAGCAGCTCTCCATTAAGTTTCTCCCGACTTTCTCTGCTCTCCTATTTGATGGTGTGGAATATCCATGGGAAGGCAGGTTGGCCTGCCCCTCCCATCACACACACTGAATAGTGAGAGTTTTAGTATATGTTAGACTCTACACATATCTTCCGACTAAACCGAAATTTATGGGGGGGGTTTTATATCCCATTCCAAAGGTTTTACCATCCCTCTGCACTACTGGGTTCATAACCTGAAAAGAGGGTGGATACTCCTGCCCTCCCCAAAGGGTTCAACCAGCTTTAAATTCTGCCTGGGATTGTAGAAGAGGCCTGCTGGCAGAGGCACCTTGGAGATTAGCTTAATCAGGTTTCCTGTTGGACCCACTCGCCGTACACCCTAGGGTGACCAGACAGCAAGTGTGAAAAATCGGGATGGGGGTGGAGGGTAATAGGAGCCTACATAAGAAAAAAACCCAAAAATCAGGAGTGTCCCTATAAAATCGGGACATCTGGTCACTCTAATACACCCTCCCACTTTGTCATTTGTGTTATCCCCTGGTTTTTCTATCGGTGAGCCTCACTCCATTCAGACTTTGCCCCAGTCTTGGTTCCACAGATTGAACCTAGAATTTATCCCTCTCTTCTATTTGCAAAAGATTTGCAAACGAAATTGTCGATATTTACACACGTATATTTGCTACTAGTGACTGTTAGACAGTTTAAATGAATGAAAATAGCTTATGGCTTGTTGGTGACTGGTCCACTTTCACCACATGCTGTTTGTGGTGATTGGCCACATAAATCACATGGTATTGCCTTTGTCTATGACTAGATGGCTAAAGCTTTCTAATATCGAGAATAACAATTGATGAACAGCATATATGGTTGTTTGCATCTGAATAGGCATGTTCAGCTGAATCTGGGTATTCGCACAAAAAACCCAAAGATACCTCTAACATTAGTGAAGCCAAAAACCTTCTTGTGCAGATATTTGCACTCATTGAATAGAAAAGTGAATGAAGGTGGTCAAGCTGAACAGGCAATCAGAATTCAAACATATGCACAAACACTCTGTTTTGCGGTATTTGACCAGCTCTACGCAGGAATGAATTGAGCCCCATGTGACTAAAACTAGGAGGGGCCCTAATAACTCTCACCACTGGTCACAGTGGTCTGTATGGCTGTCATATGGAGGAGGGCTCTTTGTTGGTTTCCAGTCTTGTTGATGGTTGGGCAGTTGTTCAAATACCTTTGGAAAAGTAGTGGTCTGTCAGTACAAATCAGGCCTGTCTTGGCAGTTAGCACCTTTTAGTTCCAATGGGTTGATTTTTGTTTTTGTTTTTCTTCCTTTAATTAAATTCTGGGCACAAGCTGAAGTGATCTAGTGATGTGAAGGCACTGCTTTGATCCATCCAGGGCCCCCGTCCCTTCCTCTAAAGCACTCTTAGTTCAAATGAAAACAAGCCACTGAATGTTCAGCCAGTTTATGCTAGAGTGGCTCACAGCCGTCAGCTGTAGGATAATGGAGTGTTTCTTTAGCAGTAAAAGGAATGTTGTCTGGATAAAAATCACATTTACAAATATTTTTCTGTGTAACCAATGAAATCATATGTTGTTAACACAGAAATATTTTTTGAAAATATACTTTACATAAAGAAGGAGAAAAATAAGCAATTTTCTATTCTTCAGTATTCCTCAGTCCCCTGGTAACTGTCCCTCTTCTGATCACTATAAAGAGAAAATAGATAAATTTCCTCACATTTGGGGTGTTTGATTATCATTATTTTTATTTTTTTTAGCTTGGAAAAGAGGAGACTAAGGGGGGATATGATACAGATATATAAAATCATGAGTGGTGTGGAGAAAGTGAATAAGGAAAAGTTATTTACTTGTTCCCATAATATAAGAACTAGGGGCCACCAAATGAAATTAATGGGTAGCAGTTTTAAAACAAATAAAAGAAAGTTCTGCTTCACTCAGCGCACAGTCAACTTGTGGAACTCCTTGCCTGAGGAGGTTGTGAAGGCTAGGACTATAACGGGGTTTAAAAGAGAACTGGATAAATTCATTAAGGTTAAGTCCATTAATGGCTATTAGCCGGGATGGGTAAGGAATGGTGTCCCTAGCCTCTGTTTGTCAGAGGGTGAAGATAGATGGCAGGAGAGAGATCACTAGATCATTACCTGTTAGGTTCATTCCCTCTGGGGGATGAACCTGGCATTGGCCACTGTCGGTAGACCAGATACTGGGCTGGATGGACCTTTGGTGTGACTCAGTATGGCCGTTCTTATGTTCTTATTACAGTTTCACCCATGAACCACAACTGAGCTCCAAGCCCCATTGTGCTAGACACTCTTCAGGCACAGACAAGACTACCCCTGCCCCCAAAAGCTTACAATCTAAACAGATAAGACAGAGAAAAGGGTTTAGCTAAACAAATAAATACATTAGGGTGCTCGCTAGTGCACCAGTGGGAGATATTTTCCCTTACATCCCCAATTTTAGACAAGGTTTTAAAGAAAAGTCAACATCTATGTCCCTCACACTGTCCATCAGATATTGAAATTCTGCATTAACTATTTGGTTATATACAACAGGGGCAGCCTTTGAAAAAAAAAGCATTGAACATTTTGATGGCAGAAGAAGCTATGAGATGGGGGAAGAAATGAACGCTGTACTCCATGATGGCTACCTTCTCATTTCAGTGCAATCTGATATTGGCAGAATAGGCAACATTCAGCAGATGAGTCCTTCACAGTGTACTTTGGTTTACAGCAGTTTCTGGCAGGAGCAAAGTAATCGAATATTGCACACATCTAGAGGTTAAAGCCTCTGCGGATTGGCATGGTGATGACTGATAACCTTACTGTGTCTCTGGTAAACTTTTAGGTGGAGTGGTTGAAAAATGAAGAGGTGATTGATCCCGTTGAAGATCGGAATTTTTACATCACCATCGATCACAACCTGATCATCAAGCAGGCACGTCTTTCTGACACAGCTAATTACACCTGTGTCGCCAAAAACATCGTCGCCAAGAGGAAAAGCACTACTGCCACTGTAATTGTCTATGGTAAGTGAGGCACTGTCCTTCTGCACATTGATCAAAGTGCAGCCTCTAGGGCAGAAGTGGTCTGGGTAGTTCTGTGATGCAGCTGCCACCATCTTTGGTGCAGATTCAGAAGTGAGGTCAGTGGAAACTACAAGTTCCCAATTGTAATGCACTATCTTAATTAGCATGGCCAGGCTGCCAATGTGGCCCTTATCCAGATGAAGTGTGATGGCCCTGTCTCCTCATTGCCTTACTCTACATCCACGTTCCCCTCTGCCCCCATAAAATAGCCTAAGCTGAAAGCTAGGTCTGCCTCCTGTAAAGTTATTGCTCTTAGAATCATAGAATATCAGGGTTGGAAGGGACCTCAGGAGGTCATCTAGTCCAACCCCCTGCTCAAAGCTGGACCAATGCCCAATTAAATCATCCCGGCCAGGGCTTTGTCAAGCCTGACCTTAAAAATATCTGAGGAAGGAGATTTCACCACCTCCCCAGGTAACGCATTCCAGTGTTTCACCACCCTCCTAGGGAAAAAGGTTTTCCTAATATCCAATCTAAACCTCCCCCACTGCAACTTGAGACCATTACTCCTCGTTCTGTCATCTGCTACCACTGAGAACAGTCTAGATCCATCCTCTTTGGAACCCCCTTTCAGGTAGTTGAAAGCAGCTATCAAATACCCCCTCGTTCTTCTCTTCCGCAGACTAAACAATCCCAGTTCCCTCAGCCTCTCCTCATAAGTCATGTGTTCCAGTCCCCTAATCATTTTTGTTGCCCTCCGCTGGATGTTTTCCAATTTTTCCACCTCCTTCTCATAGTGTGGGGCCCAAAACTGGACACAGTACTCCAGATGAGGCCTCACCAATGTCGAATAGAGGGGGACGATCACGTCCCTTGATCTGCTCGCTATGCCCCTACTTATACATCCCAAAATGCCATTGGCCTTCTTGGCAACAAGGGCACGCTGCTGATTCATATCCAGCTTCTCGTCCACTGTAACCCCTAGGTCCTTTTCTGCAGAACTGCTGCCGCGCCTTTCGGTCCCTAGTCTGTAGCGGTGAATGGGGTTCTTCCGTCCTAAGTGCAGGACTCTGCACTTATCCTTGTTGAACCTCATCAGATTTCTTTTGGCCCAGTCCTCCAATTTGTCTAGGGCCCTCTGTATCCTATTCCTACCCTCCAGCGTATCTACCTCTCCTCCCAGTTTAGTGTCATTTGCAAACTTGCTGAGGGTGCAATCCACACCATCCTCCAGATCATTTATGAAGATATTGAACAAAACCGGCCCGAGGACCGACCCTTGGTGCACTCCACTTGATACCGGCTGCCAACTAGACATGGAGCCATTGATCACTACCCGTTGAGCCCGACAATCTAGCCAACTTTCTATCCACCTTATAGTCCATTCATCCAGCCCACGCTTCTTGAACTTGCTGGCAAGAATACTGTGGGAGACCATGTCAAAAGCTTTGCTAAAGTCAAGGAACAACACATCCACTGCTTTCCCCTCATCCATAGAGCCAGTTATCTCATCTTGGTATATTTGAGGCAGAATGTATCCATAAGGACAGAAGCTGCTCTAATGATACATCAGCTGATTGTCCTGTTGTTTATTACAATCAATTTAATTACAGGACAGACAAGTGAAAAAAAAAATCCCTATGATTACCCTGAGCATTCACTTCATAGCCAGGGTAGCAGTTATGCTTAATTGTAAGCAGTTGCATCCCTAAAGTTACAATGAGGGCTTTTTAGTTCAGTTCTATAGCAAACTAGCTGAATAGAGTTGATTAGCTGCATTTGTGAGGCAGAGGAGGGACACGGCATAAGCATTCTGTGTTGTGATTGTGGTGAATACTTTAATGTGTAGACCTGGGACAAATTTCACCATACACAAATTTTTCCAACACACAGAATTAGACTCTCTAAAAGCATAATTTAAGCTGTAGCTGAAACATTTACTGAGAGTGGGCCATGCAGGTGGGGGCAGAATCGGGAGACCTGCGTTGGGGAGCAGCCATCACCCGTGTTCTCACTCTAGGGTGACCAGATAGCAAGTGTGAAAAATCGGCACTTGGGGTAGGGGGTAATAGGCGCCTATATAAGACAAATCTCCAAATGTCGGGACTGTTCCTATAAAATCGGGACATCTGGTCACCCTATCTCACTCCCAAGGATATTTTAGTCCTGTGGTGTGACTGGGAACACTACAAAATTAAGGGATTAGGAAAACTGAGCAGTTTAAATGCTTGTCAGTATGGCTACACAGTATGGAGCAGTACTGATGGTCCCTGTCCGTCTTGTTCTCCATTTGTGTCACGTATCAAGGTTCATAACAGAAAGGGTAAACAGTAACCATCTTCCTAAAATCATGGGTGAACAGTATAACTGGTGAGTTCATTCTGAGCAGCCCAACAGGCTGAGTACCTGTCATATGGACTCCTCATCTTCTGTCGGCAAGGCTCTCATCGGGGCTGCTGAACGAGGGATACCCTTGTCTTAGCATTCTGTGAACCATTGCTGTGAAGAGAGGAAAGTAACGTGTTAAATTTCTGATAGACCACATCGGAAAAGAGAGGAGCATAGATGACGGATACATCTGAACGCTAGTTATCATACAGTCACTATCCTCTCTGTATTATCTTGCTGTGGAATAGTATGCAGCTTTCAGGATGCATATATTTTGTCTTACAAAGTTCAAGATGCACGGTTTGATCTTACAGTGATTGCAATTATAGAAAGATAAATCAATGCTCATTGCTGCTATATGAAGCTATATGAATGCTCATTGGGTCTATATGAAGAGGAGGGCCATTTTAAATCCACAGTAGCCGTAGTACAGGAAACTGAAAGGACTTTTCATTCAATAGTATTTCTTGGACTTTGACAAAGACAGTGGCTAAAAAAGGGGGATTTGTGTTTATTGAATGCTCTTTGTCACCTGTCACCTTTCAGTCAATGGCGGCTGGTCTACCTGGACTGAATGGTCAGTGTGTAACGGTCGCTGTGGAAGAGGCTATCAGAAGCGTACAAGGACCTGCACCAACCCTGCCCCACTCAATGGTGGTGCCTTCTGTGAGGGCCAAAGTGTCCAAAAAATAACTTGCACCACTCTGTGTCCAGGTACAGTATGAAAGACCCACAGCCCAAGATGTGATTATCTAGTTTTTTCCAACATCAAGTATTTTAGGAAGTAACTATTAATCACAAACACTCCTTTTATTTTACTGGTAAATCCAGCATTTCAGTGAATGAATACTAAATTGTGTTACATAAGTAGATAAAACATTGTGCACAGAGTAGATCAAACCGCAGTGGATTAAATCCCACTATTTCACAAAGCTTGCACCATCATCTCAGTCCCTGTAATTCGGGGGATTTGAGTAACATTTACAGCTTCAAATCTTAAGAGCTAAAGCTTTTGATCTGTTGAACGCTGTGGAAATAAACTCGATTTAAGTACAGAACATTATTTTGACCAAACAGATTTGTAACATCCGTTTCTGTGCATACCAGTTTCTCAGTTTACACTGTAAAGACGAGCAGAGCATTTGAAACATCTGGATTATGGATGTTAAACTTGACCTAAGCATCTGCCTGTCAACAAAGACAAGAACATTCATGCCAAAAATATCCGTGCATTCACACATTAAAATAATTTTAAAATGCATCAAAAGCCAGAAAATTGAAACATGAAATGTACACTTTATCATTTAATTCAACACTGCTTAAGGGCTCTGGGTGGCTTTTAGAAGGACAAACTCTGCTATCCCTCACTCGTGTTGAGTTGGACTTTCCTATGCATTGAAATCAATGGCACTACTGTTGGAATCAGCACGGGTAAGGGGCATCAAAATCTGGCTCTTAGTGATGGGTGAAACTCAGAGAAATGGAAGTTCATTTCAAATTCTGGACGCTTAGCTGAGCCTCTTTAGTCCAAATATTTAGTAGATCCAGCTATTAAAGTCAGCACTTTTGGGCCCCAGCATTGGCCTAACTCTTCTCCCATTGAAATCAATGGGAGTTATCGTATTGACTTCAGTGGGAGCAGGGTCAGATTAATATTGAGCATTTGGCAAAATCCCATTTTAGTCCATTAATGTAGGTACCTAAATGTGGATGTGGGAGCCTACCTTCAGGCACTCGTTATTTTAAAATCTTGGCCATGATTTTTATTTTCACAGTCCGTTTAAATATATGACCAACTAGCTTATAAATACAAATTGTAGCACAGGTAATAAACTGCATGTGCAGAGTACATATTCTTGACAGTTTTGCGGATTATGCCTAGTAGCTCCTTTTTCAAATGAAATATTTGGGTGGCTTTAGTTATGTCTCTGAATATGAAAAGTGATGATCTCATAACACAGAATAATTTCTTGCCAAATTTAATCTTTTGTTGTATATAAGTGCCAAAACGCATACATTTCTGGGCTTTGGGCTTTTTTTCTTCTTAGACAGTTTAGCCATGGAGAAACCTCCTTTTGTTTCCATTTCGAAAAGGAGAGGAGAAAAGAGAAGGAACGAGTACTTGGGGACAAATTTCAATCCAGAATTAGTTCTTCTACCAAAGCTATAAATTCCACAAGACAACTGCTGACTGACTCTTTTCCTGAAGTCAGTTCTTTGTGACTCAGTGGCTTGTTACTGGGATAGAAAGCCTTAAACATCTCAATAAGCAGTTGGGATCCAGCCCAGACAAGCATTAACTGAAAGATGTAGGTTTCTAATGGGCACTTGGTGGCCCAAGTGGACTGAAGAGATGTCAAAATCACAAAAATCACCACTATAGTTAGCACTAAGTATTACCCTGGCTGGCAATCCAAACATGTATATCTAAGACCTTGGAGACTGAACTACCTCATTCCCCTTACAGTTGGTCCTTCTAGGGCTAACTTGAGGCAAATTAGCAGGGCTGTAGTGGGGAAGCTTTTATTTCTATGAGCTATGCTGTAAAGATTTCGGGCCCTAGTTCTGTCAGTCTGGCACCTTTCACAAGGGCTAAATTCACAAAGGTCTTTTAAAAGCAACCATTTTCTGTGCTTCTCTCTATATTTGCATCTCTCTCTTTCTGACCTTCCTAAGTCATGTCGCTTTTTTGTCACAGTGGATGGTAGATGGACAGCATGGAGTAAGTGGTCTACCTGTGGAACAGAGTGTACCCATTGGCGCAGGAGGGAATGCACAGCGCCAGCACCGAAGAACGGTGGGAAAGATTGTGAGGGTCTCGTTCTGCAGTCCAAGAACTGCACAGATGGGCTGTGTATGCAGAGTAAGTGGAAGTATATTAATGTGTTGTATTGACTTTGGAGTTTGGAAAATATATAGCCATTAAAAAAAAAATTAAAGCTTGAATGTTCTCCTGCCATAAAAATCTCCTATAAGCAGAAGCTGGAGAGTATCCAAATGAAATACCCTCCACCAAAACAACATAGGGAAGAAAGCTACATTTAAGTGATATGGCATAAGATGACCAAAATAACCCACGTTGGTGCTGCAAAATTGTGCCATGTAGGCATTGTCTGAACTGGGAACAAAGCCTCACCACCTACAACAAGCTTAGGGAGGAATTGTGTGTCTGAGGCAAATCCCCTGTCAGCTCCCTGGAACAAATGGTGCAGCCTAGTCCTCTCAGCAGTCTGTGCCAGTTTTGTATGGAGGTGGAGCCATGACCAATGTAATGGTCCCTACCTTTTCTGAGACCCTTTTCCAGCCCCCAAGTGCACCACTTTCAAGTGACAGGCCTGTACTCCACTTTTCTTTGGGATGGGACCTTGTGTTCCTTCCACTGTCTGAGTGGTTGTGCCAGGTTATGCCCATCTGGTTGGTAAAGTTGACACCTTGCAGGCTTGATGGGCATAGCACCTGTAAGACTTTCCTTCAGGAGTTGGTGGACAGTAATATTATGCAGTGACACAGAAGCAGCTTTTTCATGACAAAGGATGATTTTTTTTTTTTTGCCAAAAAGTTCACAGCACTCAGAGAAATGGATTTAAAACAACAGAGAGACCTGTAGGCACAAGGTCTTACCTACACTTGGCATTCCCCTCAGGGCCCTAGGTAGATATGACTTAGCCTTGATATCCTCTGTTCTCTTGGGGGCCAAGCTACAGCCTGCTAGCTGCAGACCCTGACTCACTGACAGTCTGGGTGTCTGCTTGCATCCCTGTTGGTGCTCACTGGCATTCACTGAGCAACCTCTCTCAACAAAATCAATTCCCCACCCTTTTCTTGGCCTAGGGTCCTATAATGGTTTTGTACCCTTTTTTAATCCTAGATTTAGCCTTGGGAAGAGTAAACCATTCTAGCTTGATTGGAGCCTGATCAGGGGTATAATCCAGTTAACATCTTCCCCATTGTTTCCTCAAGGACTTTTATCTGTGTTATTGTTTTGCCTTTCCTGCTTGGTCCCTCTAACAACCTCTTCTGATCTAACTCCATATCAAGTAGCCTCCTATAAACGTTATAATGCACCATATACATAAAAAAACAACACAGATATTTCCCAGTTCTCCACGCTATGTCCTCTTATGGCTTTCAGTGGAGTAATTTTACACCCTCCCAGGGGCCAGGAGGGAGCAGCCTCTGACCTCTCCCAACTGCAAGGACTTAGATTGTCCTTGGCCCACATGTAGAGTGCTTGCGGGAGGGAAGAAGGCTCCTTCCATTGTTCTTCCCCAACTGTGCACCCACACAGATGCCAGGCGTAATCTAGTCTACAGTAGATATAATTACACACTAGCTAGAGACACCTGCAGAATAAATTAACTCCTTTATGGGAAAATGCTGTTTCTTGTGCCAAGATCATGTAAACAGACTTGCTGCAGGGCATCTCCTCTGAGGTTTGAGCAAAATACTCTTCCCTCTTAGTCCACAGGGATGCAGTAGTCTCTGCAACTCTTGTACCCTCTCTCTTTGGGGGAAACGGCTAGTGGATACAGTAGCTTGGATCTAGAGCTCTCTCTAAAGCTACCACTCCTCACCCTTATATGCAGCAATGTGGAAGCTGAGGGTCTATGTCATAAAGGTGTGCAGTAGGAGTGTATCAGTCTCTCTGAATCCAGGGCCCTTCCCATCCACACAAGAGGAGGCAGGATTTGCCCCTTTGTGTAGTGTAGATTTAGGATTCTATATCCAGGACAGTATCACTTGAAGAGAGAGCCTATTGTTTAGTTATTCATTTGGATATTTACAGCTCTGCCATAAACAAGCACCCATCCAATGCTCTGGGTGCCCTGGACTAGTCTTTTAAAAAATCCAATGTATTAATCAAATGACACACCTGTTACCCCGGATCAAACAAACTCCCAGGAACATAAATAGAACAAAATGAATTGACCTCCCCACACAGCCCCACCAGTGTCCCATATCATCATCATTGCTAGGCCCATCTTCTTATGGGCCAGGAAGTTAAGATCGGTGTTGCAACTCTCCGTGAAGGTGAACAAACTCGGGCAGTTTCGGACCATAAGGAGAATTGAGTTGAAAAGGCTTGGTGACCTACCAGAGAATACCCTGCCTGTTGACCCCTCTCTCTCTCTCTGATACCAATGAGGCTCCAGCCCAGTGTCTCTGATGGTCACAGGGAGAGAGAGTCTCACGGATAAATGGGTCTCTGGACTGATAGAGCTTTTATAGTTCAAAACCAACATCTTAAAAAAATCAACCTGGTAAAGCAGACCTTAGGCCTTTGGCACTTGTTCATTTGCACACACAAAATTGGTTCTCGGTACATTACCTTGTTCCTTTTTTATATTTAAATGAATTTAGTGCCAGACTGATAGTGCTGGAGACTGAAGCTGTCTGTTCACAGAACAGGTACAGCGCCGGCAACAGCACAAGTTTCAACACACTGACCTTCCAGTGTGCCTCAGCCTCTAAAACTCAGAGGAGAGTTCAGTCTTCAGGACCATCCTGGTGTTGGCTACTCCACTATGACTGCCAAGAGGTTCCCAATTATTGTCCAGGGTTATGTTGTTGGGGTTTTTTTTTGTGAATTTGACACCAAGGAACTGAACCATCACATTGAGTCTTTCAGATGATACATTAAAAATGGAGGTCCTATCTGCACTGTTGGTCCATTAAAGATCCACTGAACTTTTCATAAAAACAGTGGTTGGTTCCAATGGCCTTTGCCAAAATTTGTCGTCTTCCACTTCTCTGCATTGTACTATACTGCTTTCCAGTTCTCCACCTGGCTGCAGCTCTCCGTCACCCAAGGCGCTTCAGTTGTATCTGTATAGTGGTTGTATGTTCACAGTTTTATGTTCAAATAGGCCACAGAAATGCCATTAGCTAGTATGCAATGATTTTCAGTCACTACCAAACAGGGCTAGATTTGAACAAGTGACCGAGACGTAGAAGGTTCTGCATTGAAACCCTGAGCTATCCAATCTCAAAACACGAATTTTCCTTCAGTTTTCCAGGTTAACCAAAAACCAACTCATCCACATGGCCACATCTTTCATTTGAGTTTTGATGCTTTGAGTGACGGCTGCACGAAACCAGCTGTAATTTTTCCATTTTTATTTTTGTGGGGGAGGGAAGAGAGAAGCTGAACTTTTCTCTAAAAGTAAAAAAAAGTCATGCTAAAGTAAAGTTATATTACATCCTGAAAATATGGGTTTGTAGCAGGGAAGCTAATGTATCCTTAGCTCCAGTGGTGTGGATGAGCCATTATGGTAAATTAGCAAGAAAAGAAACCACCTCCACTCTAAAGACCTCTTTATTACCAGATTATATTTAGACAGGTATGTGTCATCTTTGGGTATATGCATAAGCAGAGTCATTTAAGCAGAAATCTCATGAAAACAAATTTATAATGCTGCTGGAGAATAAAAGCCCTGTAGGGATCCCATTTTTATGTAGATGGTATATTGCATTTTATTTGCGGAAGTGACTGCTGGGAGTAAAGCACAGATCTTCAAAAGGAGAGAGGGTGATGCTAATGTGAATCCCACTCTGCATTTTTATATGTATATGGAGGGTGGGAGGAAATGAAAAATATGCAGTTGCATATTGATCTCCTTAGCTCCAAGCGTTGAGATTGTCCCTCAGAGTTGGAATTAAATGGTAATGTCTTTATACTTATGGGGTTCATATACCTGTAAAACTTACAATCTTGCTCCATGATCTATCACTCCTGAATAGATTGATTTGCCATACTTTATAGCTCTGTGCCTGCTATTCTTTCTCTTTCTCAATTTATGTAAATCCATTCAGAACACTTTTATTTTTACTTCTCTGTGGGATTGGGTTCCTCCAGATGAACTCTTAGTACATCTGTGTGCTGAGCTAGGGAGGAACACAGGACCCTTTTCATTCCTGGAACACACTGAAATTCATTACGGATTATTAGATTTTCAGCTGGATTGAGTTGGAATTAGAATTTTTCATAACTCGGAGGCCTTTGAATCCAGGTCACAACTTTCAAAGAATTCCCAGCAGCTTTCCCTTGTGCGCACATGGATAAGAGCCAAGGGACCCAAGATCAAGCCCTCTGTGTGCTTGGATCCTTTTCTCATTTCTACTTGGTTGGCTGCTTAATTGCATGGTATGCAGATTCTACCCATTAGAGCAGTTTCTCCCTTCCTTCCCAGAATCGGTCTTCATCAAAAACTGATGGTTTATCAATTAAATATAGTAACGTGAAGATCTAAGAATTATTAAATAGCTTCTCATAGCAGGAGCGACTAACCCATTCCTTTGACAGAAACTCACTTGTAAAAAATATATATATATAAAAGAGATATCCCAAGAAATATTGGATTGAATCAGTCTAATTTACAAGCCCTTTCTCTTCCAGTCTATTATTCACTACACTAACATCACTTGAGCAAATCAATAAGCGCTTTCATCAGACTGCCCCTACTCCAACACAGAGCAGCAGTCAGTACCGCTATCGATTTCTGTGTGGGGATGAAAAGTGTGGAGCCTTCCCCATCCCTTGTAATTACAGTATTTTACACCCAAATCTGTAGTTTCTGCTTACCGCTAACCGTGGCATTTCTGGTGCAACTGCACTGTCATGTTTATTCAGACTAATGATCTTGCTAGTGTACACACACAGTCCTATTCAGTAGCTAGTATTTTTCCCTTAACATGAAAGAATGAATAAGTATTAAACTAGCATGCCTGCAGAGAGACAGGAGGCAGATTGAAAAAGAAAAGTAACTGCAGTGAAAATTTAGGACAACTGTTACTACTGTAAGCCTCCAAATATACTGTATCTCCTAGCTGGAGTCTTTACAATAATTTTATAATTTATTGTAA